TAATACTGTAAGACATAGAACATCTTCAACAATTTAAAACAAATTTTTATTGTTTTTAATTTACGTGTATGAGTATATTGCCTGCATATGTGTAAGTGCACCCGTGTTGTACAATGCCCTCAGAGTTCAGAAGAGGTTCAGATTCCCTGAAACTGGAGTTATGGATGGTTGTCAGCTGCCATGTGGGTGCAGGGAATCAAACCTGGATCCTCTGGGTCCTTTGCAAGAGCAGCCAGTGCTTTTAACCATCGGGCCATCTCTCTAGCCCCTTTTGTTTTGGCTTTTTGAGACAGGGTCTCCCTGTAGCCCCAGCTGACCTGGAACTCACTATGTAGATCAGGCTGGCCTTGATCTCACAGAGATTCACCCACTTCTGCCTCCATTATGCTGGGATTACAGGCATGCACCAACATGCCTGGCCTATCTTCAACACTTTTTTAAAAAATACTTTAAATTTTTTATTTTTTGAGAATTTCATTCTTCACACTTTTCAAAGTCAGTATTTTAATCTTATAATCATCATGCTGAGAACACTGCTTCACTAAAAATGTAGTACAAAATGGTAAAAGTATGTCTTAGGCCATTCCAGAAATTGTTGGAAATTCTATCTTAATTGTAAGGCAGATTCATCTAACATTTTTTTTTAATGAAACTGAAGTCAACAATTCAAACAGCAATTTTTAAGATATTTTATTTTTATTATATTTTATGTATATGAGTGTATTGCCTGCATGCATGTAAATGAACCCATGTTGTTCAATGCCTGTGGAGGTCAGAAGAGGGCATTGGATCCCTTGGAACTGGAGTTACAGACAGTAGCTGCCATGTGGGTCCACTGCAAGAGCAGACAATATTCTTAACCAATGAGCCCTCTCTCCAGCCCCTCAAACAGTAATTTTTTTTTTTTTTTTTTTTTTGGTCTTTTTGAGACAGGGTCTCCCAGTAGCCAGCCCCAGCTGTCCTGGAACTCACTATGTAGACCAGGCTGGCCTTGAGCTCACAGAGCTCCACCTGCCTCTGCCTCCCAAGTGCTGGGATTAAAGGCATGTGCCACCATGCCTAAAATCAAACATTCTGACAGAATACAATCCAAAGACATGATAATTTTATACTTAGGTACCGAGGAACGACTGTGAGAATATATTAAAGTCTTTGTTTCACATAATTCCACGATTCTCTCTCTCTCTCTCTCTCTCTCTCTCTCTCTCTCTCTCTCTCTCTCTCGGCAGGTCTTTGGAACTCACTATGCAGACAAGGCTGACTTTGAATTCCTGATCTTCCTGCCCCCACCTCCTGAGTGCTAGTATCATGGGCATGTACCACCCTATCTGGTTATATGCAGTGCTTGGGATAGAACTCATGGTTCTGTGCATGCTAGGTAAGCATGCTACAAACTGAGCTACATCTCTGGCCTCTGCCCCATTTCTTTTCTTTTGATAAGACATTATATTTCTGCAAGGGTAGAAAACTTTGTACAATAAAAACACTGCAATTGATAACATAACCTCATCTCAAATCTGAGCCAAGATGTTTCAGGAAGCATTTGTTGCACAGGTCATGCTGCATTGAGTGTCAGTGAGCACAGGCACCAAGCACCCATGCTATGTGTTCAGAGCAAAGGCTGCAGTGAAGTAGCGTGGTGCAACATGGGTAAGTGTGCCAGGAGCAGCTTGGATTCATTAAATTTGAATTAATTTTTGATTGTTGTATATTTGGTGACTTCCCTACCTCCTGTTTAAGCAATTGGGTTCTAGACCAATATTGCTATATGTAGCATCTCACTGTGAGAGGAAGAGGGTCATGTTTTGAAGGCATGTTGGCAAATGTCTATAATAATCTCAGCACTCTGGAATATGGAATGTTCCAAACCAGCCAGGAGTATATAGCAATACATAGCAAGTAAGATTCTGTCTCAACAAATAAAACATACAAACACAAAACAAAAAAAAACTTGCTTAAAAAAAATCAGGGGAGCTCAACAATGTGTCCAGTGGTTAAGAACACTGATTGTTCTTGCAGAAGACTTGGGTTCGAATCCCAGCACCCACATGGCAGCTGACAACTGTCCATAGCTCCAGTTCCAGGGGATCCGACAGCCTCTCCTGTCCTCCGTGGGAATTGCATGACACAGGTGCACTTACCTACATGCAGGCAATACATGCATACACATAAATAATAAAAAATAAAATATTGAAAAAAATCAGGGGAGATCAACAATGTGTCTGGTAAGCTACCTGATAAGCAGTCAGCACAGGCTCCTTGTTACATTGTCTACCATTGCAAACACCTGCACTGCTCTCTATCTTCAAAACAGAAAAGTTACATGGAGGGGCTGGAGAGATGGCTCAACAGTAAAGCACTGAGTGCTCTTGCAGAGGACCCAGGTTCAATTCCCAGCACCCACATGGTGGCTAACAACTGTCCTAACTCCAGTTCCAGGGGATCTGATCCTTCTTCTGACCTTCATGGGCATTGCCTATCATGGGCGCACTTACATACATGCAGGCTATACACATAAAACAAAAGTAACAATTTTTTTTAAAAAAAGTTACATGGCGCCGGGCGTGGTGGCGCACGCCTGTAGTCCCAGTACTTGGGAGGCAGAGGCAGGCGGATCTCTGTGAGTTGGAGGACAGCCTGGTCTACATAGTGAGTTCCAGGACAGCTGGGGCTACAGGGAGACCCTGCTTCAGAAAGACAAAAAAAAAGTTACATGGAAAAAGTAAGTCCAATCCAGTCTCTTTTCATCTTTCCATGTTTAGCACATACCATGTCATAGATACTCCTTGTATTTTGATGAGTTTTGTGGAGGATGATTTGACAGTGTGTTCTACTGTTTGTTTGTTTGTTTGTTTATTTATTTATTGACTTTTTGAGACAGGGTCTCCCCGTAGCTCCAGCTGTCCTGGAACTTACTATGTAGACCAGGCTGTCCTCCAACTCACAAAGATCCGCCTGCCTCTGCCTCCCAAGTGCTGGGATTAAAGGTGTGCGCCACCAGGCCCAGCTGACAGTGTGTTCTAAAAAGTGAAATTCTGATCATAGAATTATAAGTAATGCCCACTAGAGGGGACAAATCATAAATATATGAAAGGAGAGATATGTGATTGCAGTGTTGGATAGGAGTCAATCACATTTACTTTCCTAATACCTTATATAGTTAGAAAACTGAACAAAATGTATGGAACAAATCTCAGGTGCATACAACAGTGCTGCAGGAGAATGGTTCCTGAGAGAGGGAAACCCACTGGAGGAGCCCACACAATGTTGAGAAGTGTAATTATCACCTACCATCCCTAAAAAAGACAGACAGGAAGGAGAGGAGGGAGAGGAAGAAATCCAAACTATAAAATTCAGTATCTGGCATCCAAAGAAGCAGAAAATATGACTTGGAATCAGAAGAAAATAATCAACACAGATAAATTCACAGATGGCTTAGATGATAAAGTCCAGAAGTTATAGAATCACAGGATAAATGAATTTAGTTGGTGCAAGGATACTCCATATATTTAAGAAGACAGAGAGGAAAACATTATAGTGATATAGGGAAAAACGTTTGCACACACAAACAAAAAGACCCCAAGCAAACATGCAGAGATGAAGAAAAGAATCTGTGAGATGAAGATACACCGTGGTACACTTGGAACAAGGAAGGACACTATCCACAATGAATACAGATAGCAAAGGCTGAGAACGTATCAGTGAGCTACAGAACATTAAGTGCCTAGTACATGTATAACTGGAGTTTTCAACAAAAGGAGGAATAACAGGAAAATAATGTGAACCAAATCCACCTGATTTTGTAAATTGTTTCATTCACCTATTGTCTATGGCTGTTTTGTGCTACAACAGGATTAAATAATTACAACACAAATCATGTGATCTATAAAGCTGAAATATATATGTACATATATACCCACTATATATCTATATATAGATATACACATACATATACTATACTATGCATACATACATATATGTAAATATATACTTGGGGGGTGATGTTGGTGATCAAACCCAAGAGCCTCATAAATGCTACATAAACCACCACTGATCCAATCTCCAGCCCTGTTACAGAAAAGATTTGTTGAACCCTCATTTAAACTTTGGAATGAAGGGCACTAAAAATGGTGATTAAGTGAATAAACAACAACGAGATGACTTCTTGCCTTTAATTTCTTTCTTTTTTTAAAAAAAGTTTATTTTATTTTATGTATATGACTGTATTGCCTCCATATATGTTATGTGCACCCATGTCATGCAATGGCCAAGGAGGTCAGAAGAGGGCTTCGGATCCCCTCAAAATGGAGTTATGGATGGCTGTTAGCAGCCATGTGGGTGCTGGGAATCAAACGTGGGTCCTTTGTAAGAACAACCAGTGCTCTTAACTGATGAGCCATCTCTCCAGCCCTTGTCTTTTAATTTCTTTAAAAATCTCTAACTTGTCAGGCATGGTGGCGCATGCCTTTAATCCTAGCATTTGGGAGGCAGTGGCAGGCAGATCACTGTGAGTTCAAGGCCAGCCTGGTCTACATAGTGATAGTGAGTTCCAGGACAGCTGGGGTTACAGGGAGACCCCATGTCAAAAAGACCAAAAAAAAAAAAATCTCTAACTATAGGGGCTGGAGAGATGGGTCAATAGTTAAGAGCACTGACTGCTCTTGCAGAGGACTCAGGTTCGATTCCCAGAACCCACATGGTGGCTATGAACTGTCCATAACTCCAGTTCCAGGGGAATCCGAAGCCCTCTTCTGACCTCTGTGGCATTGCACAACATGGGTGCACTCACATACATGCAGGCAATACAGTCATATGCATAAAATAAAACTAATATTTTTAAAAAATCTCTATAAAGCAAAAATGGATTGTGAGTATATAACATAAGTAAAATCTATAAAAATAATAACTGCTGGGCATAGTGGTGTATGCCTTTAATCCCAGCACTGGGGAGGCAGAGGAGGCGGATCTCTGTGAGTTCAAGGCCAGCCTGGTCTCCAGAGCAAGTTCCAGGCCAGCTGGGGCTACAGGGAGATCCTGTCTCAAAAGATTAATAATAATAATAAAATAATAATTAATAATAATATCAACTGATAAGTTGGGATGGGAAAACAGAAGTACACTGCAGTAGGATTTTACTAATATGAATGAAGTGGTATTATTTAAAATGTGTC